CCCAAACTCCGAGTCTAAACCTACACGTCGCACCAAGCATGTGTAACCCCCCCGGAAGCCCTAAACAACTCATCCTTAGCCCAGAGGCCGTCGTCAACTCCGGTGGTTCGGGCTCCTGCCACCCAGTGAGTCGGTGGAGTCTGGGTTCTCTTTCAGGGATTTAAGACTACTACTACGACTACGACTACGACTACGACTACGACTACGACTACGACTACGACTACGACTACGACTACGACTACGACTACTACTACTACTACTACTACTACTACTACTACTACTACTACTACTACTACTACTACTACTACTACTACTAGTACTACTACTGCTACTAATTACTACCACTACCATTACCTTTTTTCCCTCCTACTTAGCAAGGACGAGGCCCACATTGCAGGGTAAGGGATTTAAGACTTTAGGAGTTGAGGTTTCAAGGCTTCCCCTGTGCCTAAACGCATAAACTCTACCCCGTTCATCGTTGCCGTTTAGGGATCTAGGGCCTGGTTTAGGCTCAGGATGTAGGGTGTGCCGTAAGCACTGCCTGGCACTCTAAAGCTGTCGCTGATCTACTCGTCGACGCGGGTATACAGCCGCAGGGCTCACTGCAGGCCCAGAAAACTCAAGTCCCTTGGAAGGGCAAGACCCTGAAGCCTCACTCAATCCTAAGCCCTCAACCCTGAAATGCTGAACTCGCAACCACTTTTACACCAAAGCGGAATTATCGTCCGAGACCAGGGTTTCGACCCGCCCTCTCGCATGACACCGGCAGACCAGGGTTCAAGGGTTCAGTGTCCTTGTGGTGTATCAGTATCATGCCGTGTTATCCTGATCGTAACTTCAAGCCACGTGTAGTTGCGGAATCCCCGGATCCTTGGCATGCTTCGTCCATGCCTGGCAAATGCTGAGAAACATAGTGCTGCTAAGCACATATTGCACAGAAAGGAAGTAGGCAGTAGCATGAGTCAGCACAAGAACTCGAACGCCAGAAGCTGAGGCATAACTCCTTTGCCTAGTTGATAATCCTGTACGTATGCAGAAGCCTGTACTCGGCCCTGAAAACCGAATGTCCTGACACACCCTCCGCTTCTGGCATCCTAGCTTTAGCCATTCTGAGAGTCGCACCGCTTCGCGCGCCACTGCCCTGAAAAAGCAGAAGGACAGATATCAGGGCATGCGAGAAGGAATGTGAACAATCAGGGAGGTTGGAGCCCTAGACTATGAAAGAGTACTACGACCACCAGGACCAGCACGACGACCGCTACGACCACTGCTTGGGCACGGGCTGCGGGTGTGTGCCGGCAAGCTGGACTCTTATGGTCTTCCCACTACGACCACAACGACCACCGAAACCTGCGTTTCAATTCTATAGTCTCCATGTGCCACGACACATGCTCTTTCTCGCAACATCCTGCAACCCTAGGGCCGGATGAAGCTTATTTCCTGAACCCTAGAGGCCCTAGGCTGTGCCTGGTGCCATGCTCCGATGACCTCTGTAGCACGCCGTCGTGAGGTGACTTATGATACCTCGGAAGGGAGGGTTCTTAAGGTGTAATCATGGGCTTGGAGGGGGCGGTGTTAGGATTTGGGGCAATTGGGGATCAGACCCAAAGCCTCGTAAACGACCGTCGGCTCACCGAGTTGCGCATCGTGATACTGCGGAGTCGCGATATGCCGCCCACCTGGCCGATCAACCTGTCCGCAGGATCGGAGTACCCAGAAGGGTACAACTGCCATATTCAGGGTATGATGCCCGACAGTTGTCTCACTAGAAACTGCAGGCCCTCACCTATCGTGCCAGCCTTGCAAGTAGCAAGCCCCCCGATCTCTGCTAACTTGGTCCATGTCATGGCAGCCACTTCTATCTACTTGAAGGCACTGGGACCTGGGAAAAGCGAACTCGTGCCAGACCTGCTGCGAGTTTGGGCTTAAACAGCCTTAACTCTCACGGTTTTTGTCGGTGGTCTAGCAGCTCCGCACTCGAAACCGCGCTGTCACGAGAGGCGTCTAAGCCGTCGATGCCCTTTAATCCGCCGAGACCGGAGGCCCCAGGCTTATTGGGGGTTAACTCAGGTACCCTCACCTAATCCTCCTCACCTAATGCTTGTCCCTGCTTTGGAGACGCCCGGTTTTTGCGGTCATGTCCCACCCCCCCGCCCGGCCCCCCTTTATTTTACCTGCTTTTTCTGCCCTCCCCCGACAACCTCTCCCTTTTCCTGCTGTTTCCGCCGATCTCCGGCAAGTCGAGGCGGGCGCCGTAGCGTTAAAATTAAAATTAGAAGTCTCCTACTTCATGTCAAGATGCAGAGGTCAAGCCTTGCGCAAGCCACGGAAACATCATGGCCCCGGCGCAACAGATTCCAACAACGGTACGGGCAACCGTGCCAATTCACAGCGCGGAGTGCAATCTCGGTCAAGACTGCATCTGGCTAACTGACAGCTGCCGGCAGTCCAGAAGGGCAAAGGCCATGAATGCAAATTTCAGCACTTGCCCCTCTGCACATGCGGGGCTGAGATCATGGGAATTGGAACACTATTTGGTGCAAGTTCGATCAAATGATGTAAAAATATATACAGGCAGGATGTGCAATCTCGGCATAGACACAGTCGGCTGCAAGTTGCTGACGTGATGGGGCTAATCGTGGGAAACACATTCGGCAAGGCACAAACCAAACAGAGGGCACGGCACAACGTATCTGCAAGATGTAGGCTGCACTGAAGCAACCTTAAGGGTGAAACCCTACGTCCTGAAGGCCATTGCTGCAACCAGCATCCTGGCCTATACCGCTTGAACCGCTCTCTCTCTCTCTCTCTCTCTCTGTCTCCCTCTGTCTTCTGGAGAGTTGGGCGCTCCCTCTCTCTCTCTCTCTCTCTCCGTCTCCGTCTCCGTCTCTCTCTTTTTTTGCTTGCTTGCATGCACAGCTTCTGGAGAGTGGGGCGCTCTCTCTCTCTCTCTCTCTCTCTCTATCCCCCTCTCTCTCTCTCCCTCTCTCTCTCTCTCTCTCTCTCTCTCTCTCTCTCTCTCTCTCTCTCTCTCTCTCTCTCTCTCTCTCTCTCTCGCTCTCTCTCTCTCTCTCTCTCTCTCTCTCTCTCTTTCTCTCTCTGTCTCGCTATGTCTCTCTCCGTCTGTATGTCTATCTGTCTCTCTCTGTGTCGAGTATGTATATATTGTAGATACATTATATGGGCAACTATAGTTATTACTATGTATAACTATATCTAGACCTGCGTACATTCTTGTCTATATAAAGTATATAATTACATATCTCTATGCATGTGTGCATACACATACGTACAAACATACAGACATGCATGCATGCATCCATCCATCCATACATCCATACCTCCTTACATAGATACAAACAGACATACACACAGACATATGTACATACATGCATCCATACGTACATGCACACATACATACCCCGCCTTGCCCCAAAGCTGTGGCTCGCTGGAGCCACTGGCAGAGGTACTGGCGGAGGCCGAACGGATCATAGGCGCCTCAAACAGGGTTGTGCGCCGTGCAACTACGGTGATTTAGGTGTGTGATTGCGCGGCGTAGTCACGGCTAGCACACTGGGTGGTAACATCCCCACACAACATCTCCAGCAGCTTTAACAGTAGGGATAAGGCAAGCTGTTACAAGTGCTTTGGTCCAGGACTCTGTGAGGACCAGGGCCTGCGGGGCTTCAGGGCCTCTGGTCTGTTTGCAGGGCCTAGAGTCTCGTGCCTCACCGGTTCTAGGTAGTCGGAAATAGTCCTCAGAACCGGATGCCAGCTCTTGTGCCGACAATGGCGATCCGAAGACAAGCTGGAGAGCGAAATGAAGGGCCATCCTAGCAACACTGATAGTTACGCCAGGGTGTACAGCAGCAGCAACCACAGCCACAGCAACCACGTCTAACACAATCATCATGGCGACCATAAGCGGCTTCACAACCACAATGGTTTATGAATCTCAGGATTATGTCCATCCTGCGCATCACCAACATAACCAGGACTACAGTATCCCGGCCTCGCCTGGGCAACGTGAGTCAGCAACAAGGACGTGAGAATCGTCGAATTGAGCAAATGGCTATGGGAGCGTTCATCTGCATCTGCAATGAAGGTGCCTTCCGGCTGCGCCATCTCACGACTTGCGAAGCTCTACATGTTGAATCCAAACAAAGAAATGGTGGGTTTCCAAACATAGGGGACTAAAATGATGTACCCTAAATAGTAGGATCCTTACTACAGGGACCCCAAAATTAGGTACCGTTAGTTTTCGGAAACTCCCAAATGTTCCGAAACATGATACCACAGATCCGGATGGTTCGATTCCCCAGAACGGCATAGGGTTTCGAAGGTGATCCCTAAACTTGACACCCCCAAAACCCTTCGTAAGGTTTAAGGTCTAGGCTTGTTTCCAAAGTATGCCGCGTTTACATCTCTCCTTTGAGGTTTCTACACCCGACAGGATAGACCTCCTCCATAGAAGGATCTCACGCTTCCTAAACAAGTTGCAGCAGTAGGGTCTGAAAGGAAGGAAGAAGAATCCCCAGCTGAGGGCAGTTGCTAGGGGCAGTCAAAATGAAAATAGAATCCTTGACATGATACAACCCCCCGCAACCCTAAACCCTAAAGAAGAAGGCTGCAGCCGACTCCCTGAAGCCAGTGAATAAACTAAGCTGCGCATATCTGCTATCGAATCAACTTCATCGTTCCTGGGTCGTCTGCGTCAGACATGTGGAGACGCAAGGTTCGCTCTTCTTGATTTGGAAGCTGATAGCCCCATCCAGGCCCATGCAACGGGAGGCTTTCCGCTCACCTTACCGCAAGCTGAAGCCAGCAAAGTCTAAAGCCCAAGCCGTCGAAGCGAATAACATCTAAACCTTAAACCACCCAAACCCTTTTTGCACAGACTTGTATATAAACCCTGAGCCCTAAACTCTAAACATGAACCCTAAACCCTAAACCCTGAAACCCTGCGACCTCATGACATGCTTTCAGGCAGAGGCCCCGGCAACCAGGGGATCTCCAGGCCTCCCGCCAACGTGAAGACCTTGTTGTTTGCATCCAGGCTTTACTATACCCCCCGCCCCTCGAAACATGATAAAGGTAATATGTTTTAATATTCTGGGTTTTATATGAACCAAAAAAATCTAAAACAATAATTCCTTAGGAGACTATGGTTTACATGAGGTGTTCTTTGCGTTCTGCATTGCTGAGCGAATCACTAGGCAGGGTTATAAGACTAACAGAGGTTCGGGTCAAGGGCTCTGCTCAGATACGAAAGGTTATGAGGTGCCAAAGTTGCAGCAAGTATGCTCACTTGACAATGCTCGTACCTCGAAGCGGAAAGTAGCGCAGCACCAGATGTACGAATAAGTCGGGCAAGGGCAGAGGATGTTGAAAGATGAACAGCACCCACACATGGGCGGGGGTCCGATTAGTCGTCGTACCGAACGAGGTGGCAATAGGAAGGAACTTTGGATTGTTCATACTGCCGAAGCTTCGGAATAGATTGTAGCCATGTAACTAGGAGTAGCAGTCGTACTAAGTAGTAGCAACGGTAGCAGTCGTCGTCGCAGTAAAAGTACTTGCAGGATCATCGGACTTAGTAGTAACTACATATATAATTACTGATAACGCCAATTTCAAGTGCTTATAAGCCTACTTAGTAAGTCCCATGATCCTCCAAGTAGAAGTAGCAAAAGTCTGACCTCACAAGCTAGGCCTGAGCTCCTGAGGGTGCCGCTACTTCCTCGGCGCCCGTAATTGCGCCGCTACAGTTGCGGCAGGGCGCCTGCCGTGCCGCTGAAAAGAACTCGCACAGAGTCACTAGGAACTGTAGACCCTAAACGATACATCACTACTCATAAACTTTAAGCCATGAACCGGAGGGGCTTTCTGTTTCAGGGACTTCCTGGGAACCTCTGGAGGGACGTCTTGGTGTGGCTCCATGTTGCTGCAGCGAGTACTTTGACAGCAAACCAAAATGCAGCTCAACGATCACGAAGAGAAGAGGCAGCATGCATGAAAGTGCATGTTTGAAGCTTCTCATGTGCATGAACCCTTATAGTGCAGGCGTTTGTTTTTAGATTTTTTAGTCTTACACGGCAAAGCCGGCTGGAGGCACAGTGTCTGGTCTGGTATCACATGTATGTACTATCGTCTGACTCATAAAAGCAGCTTACAGTGTTGCGAATAATATACAAAAATGGGCCTTATTAATTACAACAAGGATTTGGGGCCCCATTATACTATAAACATATCAAGGAAGATTCAAGATAGTATAGTTCTTTTTTCAGGAGACTATAGTACGAACCCACAGCTGCAGTACTCCAGCATGGCAGTCGCACCCCTAAACCCTGAACCCTACGTCACTCCCTTAATATGGACCCCTAGGCCCCTAGGTATATACCCTTAATATAGCTACTGTTAAAGCCCGTTATATAGCCCATGATAGGGAAGCCCTAAACCCTAAACCCTAACTTCTATCGCTGACCCCTTAATAAGGACCCCTAGGTATATACTCTTAATGTAGCCCCTATGTATAGCCCATTTTAAAGAGTACTCACTGACATCTCCCTTGCCAGACCTGGAGCTTCTCCACGACCAGGCTGAAGTCGCTACGGTCTGCAGAAGATACTCTCAAGAGGTTGATAGAGACGCTTAAGTCGTGGGCATTGTGATGGACACCCACCTACAAGTAAAGCAAGGGAATGTAAGATTACAATGGGATTCCGATGCCTACATCCAGGGATCGAGCGAGCTTCCGCCTCATATTCCGGATCTACCCTGCAGTGCGAAACATGGACTTCAAGATTGCCAATATTGACATACTTCTGACGTGGTTGTGCTCTGATAAAGGACGATGTGACGGGAAGAGTATCAGCTTGCAGCCTACACACTGCAACACACAATGAGTCAACGGACAGCCCTGGTGAGCTCCGGGATGCTAATCGGGATGAGAGCACAGTCAAAATGCTGCAGGAAGTCTACAGCAAGGTGCCGAAAGCCGTAGCTGCAGTACCGACAAGGCCCAAGTGGGACGAACCATACTTTCAGAAAGTAGACGTCTCTCTGAAAGACAGATCTGCACGAACGACGCGGCCCTTAACCTTCACTGAGATGCACACTGGGAGAGATGTAAGTCACGAAGGTACCACCTGCAAGTTTCCAGGGATGTGACATGCTGCTCACATAATGTAGAGCAAATTTGGTAGTAAAATTTGAGGTATTGCAGCCTCTAGGGACCACCACAACTCAGCAAACTGACTGCCAAGGATTTGTTTGAGAGGGATGGTGGGGTTGCTGGCATGAGAGGCATCGGAGCAGAATATCTTGAAATACATGCACAAGTGCGGATGTGTGAGTGCGTTCCTCCGACTCTTTGTCCTCCGTTCTCCTGGATCCAAAATCCTAAGGTCTCGGCAAAGTCCCCTTGGTATGAAGAAAGATCGATATGCTGACCACTGTCAACCTGTCTGTCGAGCTTTGTCCAATGCTACGGAATGCAACATTTACGCCGGCAGCACTGTGATTGTCAAAGCAAGGTTCTCTTTCTTCGTGTTGTTTAAAAGAATCCTGTTACCCAGCGTCTATATGAGCGCTCATATGCGTATGATGTGTACGCTTAAGTGTATCTATGCATGTATGGACGTAATTAAACGTATACACAACATGTAAACAAACAAACAAACAAACAAACAAGCATTATAGGGCATCTGGTTTGCTATCTCTCATATCAGGCTCCCCAGCAGTACAAGGCCAACCTTCACGCCAATTGACCTTCCCTTGAAGCCCTGCTCCTACACACCATTGAAACAAGAAGATAAACCAATGAACCCTTATTGGCCTCAATTCTGGACATCTAAGCTCAGACCAGTCCCCTGAACCCGAAGCCCGCTAAAGACTTAAGCCCAGCAGCAGCCGCCCCAACACTACCTCTAAATACTGAGTGACCCCTGAGTCTCACTATGCTAGAGTAAGGATAGCAGTAATAACGGCAGCAGTAGCATACATTCATGTACTATGGTATCATGAAACGTAACCGTAACCCTAAACCCCTACTGGCCCCAAGGCCTTTTCTCAAGTGTCCACTGGAGCCCGACTGCAAAGGCAAAGCGAACCAGCCAGCCTTTCGATATGCGTTGTGGAAGGAGGAGTGTCTTAAGGATTTCGATAACCTTTCAAGGGGCTTATACTGTCTGTACTGCAGTGTATAGTCGTTATTCGGCATATTACAAGAAGAGTGGTTCATCGTGACGGCTTAAGTTTAAAGGTATCTAGGGCTGTGGCTAGGAAACGTTGGGACGAGGTTGTGGGTTCAGGGATTTGGTTTTCGGGTGTACGACGAGATGTTCTAGCATGTCCAATGATATTTGAGGACATTTCGGATGTGTTGTGCACTGTCATTGCACACTGGTATGTAGAGTCTTGGGACGCCGGTCTAGGGTGTTAAATTGAAACGAGAGATGCGTCCGTACTTCGGGTGCTTGATGGTTGCGTGTGGTGATTGGCGCAGAGCTCACTGCTTGCTCTGAAGGGCAAAGACGGCCTCATGAGCTACGAGCATCAACTGCCGAGGCATTTTGCTGGCCGTTTCTTGGGTCAACCCCTCACACAGAGGTCGGTTGACCACAGAGAACTCACAAGACAAGTGGGAGATTCCGAAAATGGGGGAACCAATATGATAACCTAAACTGTATGACAAGGACCCCAAAACAAGGGACCCCTAATTTTCGGAAACTCCCAAGTCGGACTGGCCATCGGCAAGCCGAATGTCAAATGATTGCAGACCTTGGCCTCCATGATACGGAAAGCATAATACAGGGAGCCTTAATCATAACTGGAATCGGTTTCCCTTTAAAGGGGGGCCTATAAGGGCTACTATAAGGGATCGATAAGGGTACTGTAATATAGGGGCCTTAATAATTAGAATAGGGTTTGGGGGCCCGTTGCATTATATTTATAATATGGAACCCCCAAAATTGTACAGGTAATCACTTAGGCACCTATAGTAGGCTGACACCAGATCAAACGTCCTACAATCTCCTCTCACGCTTTTACCCTAGCTTTCAACCACACCAAAAGTACAAAGTGAATCTATGCCCCTGTGCATTGTAATCTACTCTTCATAAGCAAATGGACTCATGAACTCGTTAAACCAGCCAGAAACCTAATCATAAATCAATCATAAATATCCGCACTAGATGTGCGCAAGAAAAAAAGCAAATTCCCAACCTAAACTGTTATAGCACCTGGCCATACACTCAGCAAAACGACATCGTCGTAACTGGAGCGAAAGAGGAACCCGGCCGAGGCACAAATGCCCTGAAACATGAACTTGCAATCATCATCAGCATCATCGTCATCAACACAAAGTTACAAACACGAGAAGAATTGCCGAGGCAATTGGCTTGAAACGCCCATGGAAGAACGAGTGAAACAAAAAGTTAAAGCGGAGCCAATGAAACCGAATTCAATGCTATACGAAAAGCTGCACGAAGCAGAGCCAACATACTTCAAAGCAGGTAAGCATACAGTCCACAAGAACCTATGCAGCGAGTGTCATAACAGTCATAACAGAACCCTTATGGGCAGATCGGGGAAAATAAGAACACTTTACATCAAGCATCTGCAGGCTGAAAAACAAAGCAGGTGCTTTCGGAACCTGGGAACTGCACAAAAACACACCAGCTTGTTGTAAAGATGAGAAGTACGAAAGCTAATCTACTTAGCTACCATATTTAGCCAAACCTTCATGCTGAACATATGCGAAAACATGAAGGTAATGCAAGCGGCTTAAGGACCGACCAGCGGTTGTAGATTGCAGCGAAGTCAGTGATGACAACAAACCAAGGATACATCTGCATCGTGAAGCAACAAGATATAAAATAGTCCCCAAGCAGGCTTTCCTATGATGCAGAGGCGGTGGAACTAGCGAAAGAACATTCAAGCGAACTATCGGATACATAAATCACATAAAGCAGTCTGCGACGCCAGGCGGCAACGAAGCATAGATGACAAGGAACACAGTAGTAATAGTAGCAGCTTAATGTCTGTAGTAGAATTCGGAACAGCACCAAAGGGCACCGACAGCTCATGGGGCAGGTTTTGATGTGAGAGAGAACCCGAAAAGTAACGACGAAAGGCTACGAAAAGAACAAGTAAGCGAGTGATGCCTGGGGTCAGCCTATGCTTGCTCATGCATCCAACAACCATCAGATGCAGCACCCAGTGCTCCGAAAAAACGTGTTCTCTGCTGATATAGGGGCCTTAATTAGAATAGTGTTGCGGGCACTAGTATACTATAATAAATATACTACGGACCCCCCCAAAAAAATAGTATAGGTAATTAGTGAGGCCCTTGTATAAGTCACATCTGTCGCCATCTCGTCGTCCCACTACGGAAAATGACACAGGCCTACAATAAACAGCAGTCTGAATCTTGACGGGGCAGAAATACATGTTCAGGGGTTTAGGGTTTAGAGTTTAGGATTTGTATGTGTCTACGTGTGTATGTATATGTATAACCACAATGACAACAATAGTAGCAAGAACAACAGTAGCCATGGATGGTCTTTCCAGCCAGGATCACCCACATCGTGGAGGCAAATTCGCCTTGGCCTACCAATAAGGCGCAGAGGCTCCAAACAAAACAAACCTGTTTACCGAATCCCAAGGCCCGATGATTGGCGAAGGTCCTGAACATTGCTGAACCATAAACCCGATGACAGGGATAGCAGGGCACGCAGATGACATGGGATTCGGTCAGGAATCGGTGCCGGGTTTCACTGCACAGAAACGGCACTGCGCTGCATCAACTGCCTTCCTTCTAACCTTTCCCACGATTTCGCGCTGGAGGTAGAAAGTCGACGTGTGTTGACTCCAATTCCGGCAGAGAGAGCGTTTATGCCACGCCATCACGTCACTAAAGGGATTTCTACATCTTTGGAGCTGACATTAGGGGGTTAGTATTTTGACAACTTCTCTTGTGGCCAGGGAAGGAAAATCTTCAATCTGTGCACACAGGCTCACTGCTCTCTCTGCACATTTCAAACCCAGGGATACCGGCGAGACCGACAGGCTAACGACACACACACACAGACACAGACCGACCTATCTGCGATATAAAGCGACAACCTGGGAATTCACACGTTCTATAAACCTCTACCTCGTCAGTCGGTACCCTCCTTGAGCCTGGAGGAAACTCAAACTTGCTAAGCAAACCTCTCCTCCGCCTTAGTGGCACTCTTGAGCTTCATTTGCAGCAGCTCCCCGTTCTCAGCAAGGGCATGCACACAGCACGCGCCGAGCCCGAGTTTGGAAGCTGACAAGCTGCAGATTAGGCTCCTAGACATCAGCCGATCATCGGGGACATGTGCTTCTGCCACCAGCTAGGCTCATCGGCCTATTGAGCCAAGAAGATGTTGCGGCACAGGTGGAATCTCCAAGGCCTGTCGATCCTTGGCCTCGGCTTTGGCGTCCTTGCAAAAGAGAGAGAAGTTGCCGGCAGTGGCTCTCCGCACCGGTGATGTGCACCTGCTGGCTTGCATGCTGGAACACGATTTGGCAATCCTTCCCTTCCCATTTGACCGTTCCCTTCTCGTAGTCGACATCCGTATTCCCATTCTGCCCAAGTGCGCTGACAATCTTGGACCTGAACTCCTCCACGTCTCCGGGAAAAGTAAGGGTCCGTTTCACGAGTGTCTGCACAAGCTGACGTGGAGGGCGGCCATAGTCAAGGCTGCCAGCCGTTGTGCGGATCTTGATTTTCTTTGAGGTTTCGTTGCCCTTGCAGGATGGTGCCACCCAATCTGTCAATGGCGCGCCGCTTGCCTGACGAATAGAGGTCATCTTCACAAGCTTCGCATAGTCTTCCAAGCCCAGATCCCGATTCACAACTCCTTTCGAGGGCCACTGCTGCTCCATCTTCCAATCCGGCATGAACTTGTGGATGAACACAGGTTTGAGAGGCCGCTGCTGCGGCCCTAGCATCGGACTGTCATCAACCCCATCGTTCAGAGCCATCCGAATGACAGGCCTTTGTCTATCACGGTGGACCCCATTGCCATAGTTCACGTCGCTGACGAAGATGCTTCTCCATGCGTTGAAAGGTGAAAAGGTCTGAGCTCGTCGGAGTAGTTCTCCGATGTTCTGGTCTCTCGACTCATTGGCCTTGTTGATCATGTGGTCCACTATGTGATTCGCCTTCTGTGAATCGACAACGATGCCCTGCGCGCTCTTGCCACTCAAGACTTGCCACACCAGGCGCACTGCTGTCTGCTCCACGCCCAGCTGCTTGCTGAGACCCGAAGCATCCAGCACGATAACCTGCAGCTGCTGTGTTGGGAAGAGGTCCGCCATGATACGTCCAAGGAAGAGGAGAAAAGCGCTGTCTGCACCAACAATGTCCTTGTAGTCGATCTTATCGTCTTTAGTGCCTCGGATCTCAATGTCTTGGAAGAAAGTAAAGTGGTCTGTCAACCTTTCTCCAAGAGTAAGCGGAACTCCCAGCATGTACATCTTGGCGATGTGACCATAGAGAACCTCCACCGAACCGACGGCGAGCCTTTTGCTACAATTTTGGCCACACCACCAGTCGCCAAAGTTCTTTAGCACCAGATGGGTGGCATCCTGCGGATCAGCCGCCTCCCTTGCCTCCAAGTACTTTGCCGTCTCTGCCAACGACTCTACCACCTCAGCGCCGTCAAGACCTACTTGCCTTCGGATTTTCAGGTTGGCCAGCAAGGCACCAGCTCCTTCTGTTGCGGCTGCCATCATGGCCGGGGCTTCTGATGTCTTTTGCAATACTTCGTCAATGTTCGTGGTTGGTCCCTGCTGCAAGCTTGAGCCTGTCTGCGTGCACATGGCGAGCACAGCTCTGCGCTGAAAGCAGGTGCACAAGGCCAAAACTGCCCAAGCCCAAATGATCTCCCGTGCGTGGCAAGCTCTACCCTGAAACCTCACCAAGATAAAGGGTGGGAGCGAAGGCGTAGCGAACCCTAAACACAAAATGCTGAGACTCACGTTCTACGTGCTCGGGACCTCCGTGAAGCGCGTGGTGTGAGCGAGCGTCCAAAGTCCATCTTTGATGGAGTACCTGCAATCAGGGTGAGTTGTCTGGCTCCTTCCTCGGTAGCGGCTCCGTCCGGTCTGTGTGTTTCACGCAACACACGCAGAGAGAAATCTCAATTCGCATCTACCTCCGTGTTCTTTGGCCATTGCTCTTCGGCCCTGTGTTGACAATGTTGCTGCTCCAACCGTCTGAAGTGCATGATACAAAAACTGGGCATTTGTCTTAACATGCTTGCCAGTACATCCCTGCAACGCGTCTATGGCGCGACTCGCTTAGAACTATTGGGACCTGTCCAAGTAGCACTGAGGTTCTGCCGCTAAAGAGATACAGTAAGGCGGACGAATGTTTGTCGGACATCTTGGCATTACCCGCCGCCAACTTACCGATGTGGTAATGCTGCTATTCATGATTTCCGCAAATAGCATGCTGGAGCTCTTAGGCTTGAAAACTGTATGGGGTGCAGGCAGGCCTACATGTTCAAGCTTACATACACACGTTAGCATGCATCGTCAGAATGATCGTGCGCTTCCTGTCTGTCTGCCTGCCCTCCTTCCTGGCGGGCTGTCTGTCTGTCTGTCTGTCTGTCTCGGCTGGCCGCCTCTCTGTATGAACTCACGTATACATGCCTGCATGCATGTAGTGCATGGATGTATGTATGTATGCAGGTTGGAACGAAGGTAGGTAGGTGGTAGGTAGCTGGTAGGTGGGTAGGTGGGCATGCTTGTGTGTGTACGGACGTGTAATGTCATGCTTTGAAGCATACATCATCCAAGCTAAGAGTAAGATAGCAAACACCTTAAGCATGACCCAAAATTCCTCAGCTTCCCCGGACCACCCCTGAGCCGTAAACCCTGAAGCCCACAACTTCACCTGGGACCCACTAGCCCGGAGTCCCCAGAGCCCCACAAGTAACATAACATGACATCATGTAACATAATACCGAAAAGATAATGTACTATACCACAAGTAACACAACATGATATAAGTATATATATATATATAACATTATACCGAACATGTAATGTCCTATATGTAACAGGAGAGATGGTAAACAAAAATCATACTGTAACCCCCCCGAAAGCTCGAGCTTTGCCTCCCTGACCATGGCTCTGTTGCTTCGATGAGGCCGTCGCGGACGCCCGGTACGGCGGGGTGGACCGCCCAAGCCTTGAAAGTCGAGTTTCAGGGTGCCGTTTCGTCTCTCACTCTCGCACACGGCAAGGTTTTTTGTGCCTCCTGCCTGGCTAGGACGAACCTACGATGCAGGGTTTAGGGTTTTAGGGGTTGCGGGCTTCAAATGCCGAATGAGCTTTTGAGCATAGGGTTGAGGCTTTGGCTCGTGCAGTGGACGACGCCACACGGCGCAAAGAGCTTTCCCCACACGCAGCTGCCCCCGAGGGTCTTGACCGGAGCTGGGCCAAGAACAGCTCAAACGCTGTGCCGTGTGGCTGTAGGTTTGGGAGTATTGTCTGAAGAAACCAGCCGTGTTTCAGCCTTCTCGAACCTTTCAGCGGAAGTCTCCGAGAAATTCATCCGTGCTCGCCAATGTTTTCAGAAATTCGTGATTAAGCGGCACGATTTGAGGCCACCGCTGCCTCAGCTGTGTTTCTGGCTTACGAAAATGTCTAGAATCACCCGGCTACTGACTGCAGCTACAGAAGGTCTGCAGGTACAACGTCGCCTGCCAATCGTACCACGCTGAAAGACCCGCGTTCCAAACATCTGCGCAAGCAGAAAACGAAATTTCCTCTCTGCTAGACAGCATAATTGGCGGGCGAAATTATGACGAAAATGCGTCTCCATGCAAACATCAGGTGAGTGAGCCAAGCGTATCATCACAGTATCAAAGCAGTGCAAGACCGCTGCATTTTGGGGACCTCTCCTGTACACCTTTCTTTCCCGGCCTTCTGCACTCCACTCACCAATTCCCCTCGACTCAGCCGTAGAACCCATGGCATTCATGGCCTGCCGGTGCATCTTCTAAATGTGCTGTTCGACAACTATGCCAGATCTGATGCTACCCCTTTAGAAGTGGGCGCGCATGCAATGCCGAAATGAACATTCACATGGATTTGTCCAGCAAGCAAAACCGGGCAATGAACACAGCAAGCCTTCGCAAACATGCCAAACTGAGCATAGAAACTGTGCTAGACACTGTGGGCTCCAAACCCGGCAGACTCTGAAATGTCCCCAGGTTTGGAATCCGAAGGCTGCACATTCTGTCCCGAGGCCCCGAAACATCTCAGAACAAATCCGTTCCCGCAGCCCTCCTGCATGTCGTCCAAAGCATCCTCCAAACTCTTGTGAGGTTCTGCTTGAACCTATTGCTGAGTTCCTTGGCCCCAAACACCTGGACGTTGCCCCCCAACCAAGCTTCAATTTTACCTCATGTTGCAGCCTCATGTTGCCTAATTAGCCATTATGTTAACGACACAGCCCCGACACCCGGCTGTCTGGGCTCCCAACCAGGGAGCGCACCAAAGTGCTCGTCACCTCATCTAACTTCCCACTCCACGGCCCCCCCCCAACCACAAAACCCTAAGCCCTTCCATGCGTCTTGGGTCACGATGTGGTTGGTTAAACAGGATCTTAGGTAGAGGATTGGGCCAAACACTCTAACCCGGTGGTGCCGACACAGGGCTTGCCCGCAGCAGCTGAGAAACCGTGATACTTATATCCTGGCAACTTTGGCATGTTGGTTCCTTGGGTGTCGCTGCTGATGGCCTAGCCATAGATAATGGTGACTGCGTAACTAAGGTTATCATTAAGGTAACCATACTTGTAATTACAGATAACCCTAATTCTACTACTTATAACCTGTCTTCCTTTCTCCGGGGTGTAAACTTTAAACGGTGAAGGGTTTCGACTCCAGGCCTCGGCAAACACTGGACAGATCTCACCATCACCAAGATCATACTATAGGCCTAATAGGGGCCTAAAAAATTACGTATACTTTTGTTTTTTTTTTGGAGGGGGGGTCCTTCTTACAAGTATAGTATAATGGGCCTCAAAACCCTATTCTAATTGCTAAGGCCCCGACAATATCCAACACTACACGAAGTCAGAGCAAGCATCGAGCTGCGCAGCTCATACCAAAAAATGCTCTCCTGCGTCTAACTGCCATAAGCCCCACAATTTCAGGCTTCCACCCAGACAGTCTGACACTGAACCCTCCTGAGATCAAGCCCCAAAGAAGGAGGTTAATTTCGATGCACAGAGAGAAAGACGAAACCCAGCTCAGGCACGAAGTCCACAAAAGTCAGAATAGAAATAGCAAGCTCCATCGAGAAGTCGGCTCTTGCCTGTACTTTATACCAAAAACCTACAGTTGATATGCACCTTCGTCTCCATGAGCGGGGTTCCGAAACCTGGAGCCTACAGCGATGGAAATCGAACAAAAAGACTCAATTCGGTCTTTGAGCTTTTTCGGGGCACGGTGAAGCCCTGGGGGATAAGAAAGCCTTGGTTGGGCCTAGGACTACTGTGGATTGGGAGTTGGGTCTTGGTTGAAAACCACAGGTCGAAGGCATCACCTCGGTCCCACTGCGGTCCTCACATAATCAGGGGAGAACCGACACCACATGATCAGGTGAGCAGCGTTCATTCGCACGAAGTTCCTCGCGAGGAAGCTCAGCGACACGATAAGATGCTTAAAACGTGTGGTGCTACTTGGCATTATGCATACTAAATACTACTAGCTCCTAGTACTCGTGATAGCTACTACAGTAGTCACTTGTCCTAGTGCAGATGCGAGACCTGGTGCCACCAGTGCTGTGACTGCTGCTGATCTTGCTGCTGCTGCTACACTGACGGCTACCGCTACGGCCAGAACTACTGCCAGCCTACAACGACTGCGATTCATACGGGCGGTTGTCAAATTATAGGATTTGGGTACCCTAAATAATAGGTGCCGTACTATAATAGGGCCCAACAAGGGACCCTAATTTTGACAACCACCCGTACAAGAAGATCAGGGGAAAAAGGCTTCTTGCCCTTCGCTGCCCACAAGAGTTGGTCAATCTGTTTTCGAAGGTCTTCATCACAGTATATGGACGGAAACTGCTGGAAACACCGGCAGGCGTGGTGTTTGCGTCATGTGACATTGACAACGCTACAGATACTGAAGTTGCACAACCTCGGCGTTTGCGAGGCGAAACCGTATATAGGCAACTGCAAGTTGCAAGAATAACTGTGCACAGCCTACACAACACCTAGCCTGATCACACCTTTTCTGCCCAGGCTCGTGTTAACGCTACGTCCGAGGCAAGAAGCGCCGCGCCAGTCCGCCTATCGGAAGGCAGCACTTCCGGGGTTTGGGGTTTTGGTTTGACCCCTCAGAAGCAATCTACCAGACAGCGACACGGGTGTCAACAGACAGCATCAGACGGCCCTGTTGAGATATATGGCCTTGCGCTTGCGCACCCCCCCCCCCAAAGAAACACTCGTAGCACTGGTCTCATCATCCTAAATCTTTGACGAGGTTCTTCGCAGGGCACTGTATCCGGGGTGTTATAGGTTCATTCATGCATTCATTCATTCAATTTCATGCCATTTCATGCCATTTCATTCCATTTCGTTCCATTTCGTTCCATTTCATTCCATTTCATTCCATGTCTTTCCATGTCGTTCTATTTCATGCCACTTCATTCCATTTCGTTCCGTTTCATTCCATCCGTTACTTTCTTTCATTTCACTCATTGCATTCATTTCATTCATTTCGTTGGTTTCATTCCATTCCATTGCATTCCATTCCGTTCATTCATTCGTTCATTCAGGCATTCATTCATTCATTCATTCATTCATTCGTGCATTCGTTCATTATTTCATTCATTCATGTACTTATATGTGCTTACTCATTTGTTCTATGTATTTGTCTATATTTGCATTAGTGAGCGTAGTCATTGATGTACTTACTTATTGGATGTCTTGGCTGGATGGTTTGGGGGCGGGTTCCGGATTTGCAATCTGTGATCAAGGTTTGGGAGAACTGGGAGGCACCATATTGCGAACAAACCTGCTATGAAAAGGATCAAATAGATCAAATGTCTATGTTTGACTCAAGCTACGTTTACAATCTCTTGTAAGACCGCTCTTGTGCTCGCTTGTGATTCGTCTGTTCTCGCAAGCGTCATGTGATGGTGGAGGGCCCGAGACGGTGGCCAATTATGAGCCGCCGAGTTCTCTCTTGTGGGACCCGGAAATCTGAGTGCCAGAACTAGTCGTGCAAAAAACAATATTTTACCCAACCACTTAGCTGTTCAACAAGCTGGCTTGGTCCCGAGCTCCATTCTCCAAAAATGCATGAAGAATCGACCATCTCTTGCATGCTGCCTGCTTGTCTCCTAAACTGTCTCAAAGCCTCAGAAAGCCGCCAAAAGCCAAGGGACTGTCAGGCCAACATCCTCCGAACTCCAGAGGGACATGGATGTCTTCTGTCGCAATGACGGCAGCGGCAGGAAGCACGGATAGTGTAAGCCTGCCGGCACATCAGTTGCGAAGCTGGCAGTGCCTTGCTTTCTGAACTTCTGCACATGTCGTGCCGCGTATGCGCGCGGCACGCCATTCCCCGTGCGTGGGACGCCGGATCTGTGATTGATGAGACGTCACAACACTTGTACGCATCCCTGCCCCTCAGGTCCTGACGGTCAAGCCACAAGCACTCAATCCTCTTGCATAATTCCCTCCCCCCAACTGAAAGCTGCGACGTTGCAGGCGGAAGACCCATAGCACCATCTGCCAGAGCAGTCGCGAAATCAGGCTCCTCATCCCAGAGCTGCTCCACAGCAGGGTCCTCGACTGCTCATGTAAGGGCCTTTACAATTAGAGCAAGGTTAGGGGCTCGTTTATAGCATGAGTATAATAAGGAACCCGAAGGAATAACATCAGTAATGATTTAGGCTTCTATAGTCCGGAAGTTTGCTTCGGTCTTACTTTTCCTGTTTAGGGGGTTAAATCTAAGTGATCGCGAGATGTTCTTCAGGAAAACCAATGCCGTCGGAAACAAGGAGTGCCCTAGTGCACTGCTGCCTACCTCACCATAACTTAACTTTTCACCTCCAGCCTGGTTTGGCACTGTAGTGCGTATGGAAGGCAAAGCTGGAGTGGGCTATGCTGCTGGCATGAACGGGAGCTCAGGCTTCGGTGGCGCACAACCAGTAAAATTCAACAGGGGACCTCCCCACTCCGAAAGGCAAGCATGCACGACCAAACAACGAATCTCTGAGCAGATTGTGTGGAGCCAGCAAATGCATGTAGGACTTGCCGTACAACTCTCTTCGCAGAACGAAATCTTTCTCTCAAACCTATGTCTATGTCTGTTACAAGCCCCTAAATTTCTGTGTGTCCCTGTCGCTTCTGCCAGTCGCTATGTTGAGAAAATAAGCACGGCGGCGTATGTAGAATCCGGCAGAACCAGCCGGGTCTGGTTGAACCCTGCCTCGTCCTTGGCATCCGGGTACGGGGTCTGGCTTGTTTATGTACAGCCATACATGCAAGTACGGCGAGTGCATGCATGCGTGCATGCACGGACGTTACATGTATGTGCGGGAGAATGCAAGCAATCGCGGGTGGTCCTGTCTCTGACTTCTTTATGTGTGCATCTGCCACCCTGAAGGTGCGGCAATGTCTACTTCCCAATCTTGACATGCGAGCATGTACTTAAAGAACCTGACTGGCGACTGCCCCGAAAAACTACAGACAACTCTAGACAGCCTATGATGGCTAGAGCAGATCACAGATCCAGCCCGCCTTACTCAGGAAATGGTGACTGCTCTCGAATCTGCGGACGGACAAGCCAGGCAGCGGTGGAGCGCGGTAACACATCATGTTCTTCATGTTGCTACTATTTTGGCCGGAACCCCTGAACCCTTTTCAGCATGGGTTTGTGCTATGTGCCAGCAAACCTCAAACCTCACACCCCGGGCACCCAAAGCCGAACTTCAGGCAGCGAGGCTAAAGTCTCCCGCAGCGCAACCACCCAGCGCCACGGGGGTAGTGAAGCCGAATGACCTGGCTTTCCCGAGTATATTATATCAAGGCATATTATATGATAGCATAGTGTCTTGTATTAAAGTAAGAATCGCTTTCCCGTGGCTCCAAGTGCCTACAGTACTGTCATCTCGAATAGTCAAGGGGTCAAAAGCAGGTCAAAACTTACCATTTTTGGGCTTGTGGGTACAGTTTGGGATTCACCGGTGAGGAAAATATCTAGGCATCAGTTTCCCATTGAAGCTGTTTCAGTGTGTTATATTATCGTAGTATATTATATCAGAGTATATTATTTTATAGTTATAGTATAGTATCTTTTATTAAAGTAAGAATCGGTCTATGGCCCTGTGGTGTGAGAGACCGATGGGCCATCCTTAGGAGAGAATGGCAATCTACCTCAGACCCGACGGATCTTGCAACCTTTCCCGTTCAAACTGAACCAACATTACGCCAGAATCGTGCTTTTGAACTCTGGTAGAACAGAACGATAATTCTGCTGAGGACGATTCGGCACCCGGAAGAGAATGCAACTGCACCATTTAGAAAACGGAAATGCAGACCAAACCGCCAGTGTCGTCAGCTAAATGTTGAGATACAGGTTAGTGCGTGCGTCCCCGCCATCTACAAGACACATCATGATGGGCACAGTAAGGCCTAAACTCTAAAACCGCAGCGCCATCCACCCTCAAGTCCTACATCCCGAAGTTCCAGAAGCCACACACAAGCAATAGAGCCCGAAAGCCAGAAGACGTCAGAATGCACCAACAACAACAAACGGAAACCCTAAAGCATGATGTATAGTCATCGCGGTGGTGACACACAAAAGGACACTCAGCAATCGTAGAACATGACCATGGACAGATGCGAGAACTTAGATTTCGACAGCAATAGGTCACAACGATAACGACCAAGGGAGTATGTACTTAATGATGCTAGCAACCGTAGCAAACCCTAAACCCTAAACCAGCAGTATGTCCGAAGCCGAGGTCCCTGCTATTTCCAAGGAGATCCAGGATTGATGGTCGGGGGCGGTTGCCGACGTACTCCACACTTCCAGCCCGAGTCTCCTCGGCTTTCGGCTTGAGACTTGGGGAGGGATCTGGGAGTTTCCGAAAATAGGGGACCCTAATATAGTACCCTAAATAATAGGATCCATATTATAAGTATTATAAGGACCCCAAAATAAGGTACCCCTAATTTTGGAAACTCCCATCTATGCATCATCTCCCCGTAGAGTCCCTACATGTCCCTACACAGGTACTTGGACTCTAACTAACATTGAACATATACCATATGCCCCAAAACCCTCTTCTAATTGCAAACGCCGATAGGGCCGTGGAATTTTCAGGTCGGCTAGGGCTTTGGGGATGTAATTAAGCTTCAGGGCGTAGGCTCAAGTGATCAAGGGGTCTGGGATGAAAGGTTTCTGCTGTGAGAAGACAGCAGGTGCACACTTTCAGTTGCAGTTAAGCTTAGAAGCCTCAAGCCAGTGAACGGCAAAGAATCCGGATTTCATCAGAGAGTTAGCGCGGCTAGCTGTTCCTCCAGCATTCTGATGTCTAGCCGAATAATATCAATGACACCCGTCTGAACCATCGTTCGTTGAACCCCTTACCACGTCCTATGAGGACCCAATGCATATCGCTCTAACCATCATGATAGCACCAAGCAGCATCATCACAAGCGAAACGAACCTCATCAGCGGCTACGAGTACGGCAGCACCCTGGAGACATTTTCCTTGCTCACCGCTTCCGACATGATTCGAGTCTGAAGCATCGTCACATTACCGGTGCGTCTTGTTTCCCACAGTCGTGCAGCACTGCACTCACTGCACTCTGTAAACACGACATCATTCCGGAAATCCGCGCCCCGACCTGAATGATGGCTGCTAAGTTCACTACGTGCTTTCAGTTTTCACCCAGAAGACTCGCACTCCCGGTAAAGCCTCAACTTTCACGGTTCGGGCCCGGCTTAAGGCAGCTAATGGGATCCGGGCGCGTTCGCGCATCGCAGCCAACCTCAAAGGTTGACAAGCGACGGGGAACAGAAAAGTATCGGCAGCAGTTCTTAGGGTTTTAGCGCCTACGTGTTTTGACGTATGATACCTTGACGTTTCCAAGAGGTTTGAGAATCGTCTGGACATGAACAATGGTGCTAGCCTCAACACCTCGAATTGCATTGAAATCCACCTAAGACCTCGCTTCTATGCTTGAAGAGTTAGGGGCTGCGAAAGCACGATTTGCAGTCGGATGCCAGGTGCTGACATCTATTCACGGCGGCAGGTCTTCGTAATCTGCTGCAGGGTACAGTTCCCAGGTGAGCGCGTAAGCCTGACAATAATTTGGTTTGGAACGGCTTCATTGAAAGCACAGAGAAGCTCGCAAAAACATGCTGTCCATGGGCGACACCCGCTGAGCGCAAGTCGAAGTCTACTATCAAGAGCGCAGGCGCATCAGAACAATCATTCCAGTTCAGACTGCTGCAAGAAGAGCACCCACGCAGCTCGGCGCTCATGACTGCAGGGTTAGGAAATGACCTGAAGCCATCTGCTAGGCCCTGAAAGCTGAAACGATGTTAAAATCACTAAACAGTCTTCATGGAATCTTGAAGAACCCCTATTGCAACAGTTCAAGCCACCTTTCGACGCTCGCATTCGCACAAGGCAGGCAAGGCTCCACACAATCCACCGTATCTCAACTACCGTCAGCTGGCAAGCAGATACCTCTCCCCAACATAAACACACAACAAATCTCAATCACACCTTTAAGGTGCGATAATATTCAAGTACAGGAACTGAAGCCCCTAAACTAAACCCTTACTTCAAGCGTTAACCCTGCTATAAGCTGAATTAATGCAAAGGAACTCACGATGTAGTCAAGGGCATCGTTGTTGTAGAACTCTGACCTTGCTGTGCCGATCTCGGCTTGGGGTTTGGGGTTCATGACACGAAAACGTTGGCTCCACTCATAGCATTGCAGCCGCCTAAGCAACAACTTGTTAAGGCAATATCCCTTTCTGTGGGGGCCTTAAAAATCAGAAGAGGGTTTTGGGGTATATTATACTATACCCATAATAAGAACCCCCCACAATACTGTCGGTACTTATTTAGGCCTCTCTTACATGCTCATGTGCGTTGTTGGCCCTGCACGCCGCTGCGCCCCTGCCACTTACTCCGTGCTGGGGCCAAGGTGCTCCTCCACAAGCTTTCACTGCAGGCTTGCATGTCTGAGCTCTAAGAGCGACACAACTGTGAATGACGTATGAACCGAAAGCCCAAGGTCGAAGTCCGAATCCTAAACTGAAGCCCTCAAGCCCCAAATCCCAGTCAGCCCTAGGGTAAAAGCCAGAAAGTTGGAATATGCTTATCCTAACCCTTCTATGGTAAATTATGGGGTATCCTACCAAGAAACCATATTCCAACTTTCTGGAGTTCCCTGTATAACCTTGTCCTTCCGGTTTAGTGGAGCCCTGCTGCTCTGTGCCGCGTTCCAGGCCGACCCAGCTCGGGAAAGTCCATGGCACGGCATAAACCTTGATCGCTGGCTTTTTGGGCTTCTTGCGTCTGCTGCTCTGTGGTGATATACTGCTACTCTATCGGAACTTATCGTTCTGATATGGTGTTACTATGGTCCGATAGCGCTAGGACGTCGGAGTCAAGACTAGCTTTTCACTTGTTGGCGATCCCGACAAGTCGGGATGGTGCCTGGAAACCGCAGGCGTGGGGTTTCCCTGTTCAGTGCTTCAGGGCTTGGGAAATATATATATATATATATATATATATACATATACCTATACCTATACATATACATATACACATACACATACACATACACATACATATACATATACATATACATATACATATACATATACATATACATATACATATCCATATCCAGATACAGATACAGATACAGATACATATACATATACATATAGATATACATATACATGTACATATACATATACATATACATATACATATACATATACACATACACATACATATACACATACATATATATATATATATATATATATATAGAGAGAGAGAGAGAGGGTTCCGTTTTCTGGGCTCTTCTTTCGTAAGGGATTTGCAATACAAGTTACGATCGTAAGGAACCATGTTGTTTACTTTAGATCCCAATTATGGTAACTTAAACTGAATGCCTTAGAAAAAAACCCAGTTTGGTTCTTGAAAGAGATCATGGTGCTTTGGAGTCGTGCCTTGATACTCCATGCTTGGTGCTTCCACACTGTGGCTTCTGCGACTTCCTTTTGCTGTGGTGTAATCCTTTAAGGGGGGCCTATAAGGGCTACTATAAGGGATCGATAAGGGTACTATAATATAGGGGCCTGAATAATTAGAATAGGGTTTCGGGGCCCCTTCTACGAGACGTATGATCAGGAATTCAAGCCCCGATACTATCTTCGTGTGTTTTCATTTCGATGCCGACACACCAGCGAAGAGCGGCGGCAACACATCCAAGAACCCCTAAGCTGTCGACACCCTTCCACAGGCAAACGGAAGCCTAAACCTCACTACGGACTCTAAAGCCCGAAAACCTTAGCAAAGGGTTCGACCTTGGAGCATGGAAAGCCCCAAAATCAAACGGCTGGCGAACAGAAAAAACTCGCAAGGAAGAGTCCGAACAAAGAGCCAGATCACGCGACTCAAAACCCATGCTTCCTGCAGCCTCATCAACCCGAAACATCGCGCCTCTAAACACGAACCTCGACCATCCTCCAAGCGCTTGAATACTACCATACAGAGTCGCACCAAAAGAGGGTACTTGCAGGTTCATGGGTAGTCATAAGTAGGGTAACTATACTGATAACCCATGTTAGGGGACTTACAACCCCACCTATAACTACCCATGAACCTCCAAGTACCGTAAAGAGTCCCACCAAAAGAGGGAACAGCCCAGAAACAACCAGAGCCGGATTGCGGAGACGGGCCTTCGGGCACATGAAATCTCTAGGGCGTTCCCTTCGGAGGTCCTATAAGGGTTCCTTGAAGGCGCTCCTACAAGGGGATCTAGAAAATTTAGGATACTTAGTTGGGGTCGAGGAGTTCCATGATTCATCTAAGGATTGTCTTGCGCCTAGGACTGGGGGCTTTGGGGTTTTTATCTTTGGGGCTGATGGCGTCTTTGTGTCTACGCCATGGCTTGACCCTTGAAAGAGTCCTTAAAGGAATCCTTAACAAAGAAACCTGCTGTGCGCCACTACATGACAGCAAGACGATCTTAAAGGACCCCTTAAAGGAACCCTGAAGCTTTTCTCTCGTGTATTGGAGATGTGGAGTCTGTTGGGAGCTCCATGGCTAAGCGATGAGGACGGCGGATTCGGACGTTGCCCCAGGGGCAAGTTTAGGGCTTAGGGTGCAGTTTTTTTTTGAACACCTTTTCTCCGGTGCCCAAGGGTAGGGTGTAGGTTTAGGGTGTAGGGTTTTAAGGCTTGAGTTGGGTCTTGGCCTGCGAGTTCTGGGCGAGAGCATCGACTACACCTATCAAGTCCTGTAGGAGAAATCGGAAGCATCAAGCTCAGCAGAAGAGACTGTGTTTCACCCTCAGCTCGAACCAAGATCACCTGAACTCATATATCGTTTTGAAGCACCTCGTAGACATAACTACCAGAATGTTCAGTGGTTAGGCACGTCCCCCGCGAAATGCCGATGCAGCTCCCGCCATGACTAGGACACCTAACTCTTCCTTACCTTCCCCTTGCTGTAAATGCTGCTTCTGAGTTTGTGCAGGAACAACTGCATAGTCTATAGCCGTCATCCGGACGAAAATCTGCCTCGCGCATAAGCCAGAAGGTTCGCGATCGCAGACAAACCTGGCAACACTAGACTAGGCCTTGTTTCCGCGTCTTTTGGGCATGCACAGCTGCAGGCTTCAAGCAATGATTTCTCCAAGCCCTTCGAGTTGAATTCGAAGGCTTACCAGATATCTGTCGACGCAGCGAGGATGGCAGCAAGAGCCCCTGGGCAAATGCCACGGCATCAAAAAACGGGAAAACACAGAGCGTAGGAACAGCAGAAGCAGCAACAGCAGCAGCAGTGACACACCTTGCACATACTGCCTGCAGAACGAAGGGGACTTGGTGATCAAAGCTTAGGTGCCTTGCTTACGGTACGATGAGTGGACGTCAAATGAAATCCATCGTCGAACAGCCTTTTACATGCGGGCAACTGAGAATCCTTCGCACCCAGCTCAGCAACGACACACACCCATTCATGAAGTCGGGAAAACTTGGAAACCGGGCCAGTTTCGCCTGGAAGTTCGGGGCTTCACGGTGCGGCCTTATGTTGATACTCCATCCAACCCTGCCATCCGGCACCAAGCATCTTCCGACAAGGTCATGTGGAGCTGAGATTAGTTCCGAATTAGGATGGGGTTTGCAAAGTGAAACAAATACGGATTTGCAAATGAGGACTTGTAAATGAGAGAGGCAGACCTGTCTGTCTCAAGTTCAGACTCTACGAAGAAGAATTGCGGCAAGCGCCGACGACTTTTGGTCGCGTGGCTCTTGCAGACAGACAATCCAAAAGCGCCTTGTATATTTGGCGAAGTGGAAGCCGCTTTATCGGCGGCATTGGTAACACTAAGTCACCACGTAATGAAGTCGTTTTGACCTCCTCGAGGTATCGAAGTCCTTTTAGCCATCGACAGCATTGCTGTCGTTCATATCGAAACTACGGCTGCGGTGTGCTACGGACAACAAACATAGGATCAGGACTCCTACCTAGGCGAACGTGCAATGTAAGACAGACCAAGCTTTGCTGCTACACTTTCATCTGCATTGTCAGTTTCGACGCGGCTACTACTATTATTACTGCTGTGGTAATTGCATGAAGTTTTCCTGACAAAGTTTGTGCGGTCTTCACCTCGTCGTTCGCCATGGTCATAATCTCGGTGACTGCTGTGAAACGTACCGTGAGTACGACTGCTGTTGATTATATGATCGCTACTACACTGCCGCCCCCACCACACCATCTTTTCTCGCTAAGGTTATGAGGTAATCTCAACACAACAGCAACCACAACTGCTGACATTGATCTTGATCATGAAGCAGCATCAACGGCAACAGAAATAACCGTGACAGAGACAACAACAACAACAACAACAACAGCAACAACAACAACAACAACAACAACAACAACAGGAACAGGAACAGCAACAGCAACAGCGACCGCCACCACCACCACCACCACCACCACCAACAACAACAACAACAACACAAGAACAAGAACAAGAACAAGAACAACAACAAGAAAAACAACCACAACAACCACAACCACGGCGACGACCACCGCAACGTCAACAACAACAACACCAGCAGCAACAGCAACAGCAACAACAACAACCACAACCAACAACCAACATTCACGACAACCACAACAACAACCACCAATTAAACAAACACAACTGACGCGACAACAGCAACAAGGACAAAAATAACCACGACAACGACAACCACAACAACGACAACGACGACAACGACAACGACAACAACGACTACGACAACGACAACAACAACGCAAACAACAAGAACAAGAACCGCGACAACAAATTACAAAAACAAACACTCCAACAAACAAGACTGCATTCACCACCAACTACATGCCTCCAAAGCAGCCACTGCTATTGCTACTACGGCGATATCGACGACGCCGACAACCACGACGATAACAACGACTAGAGCGGCCTGGTGCTGCGCAGACCCACTATACCTACTTGACAAGTCGGTGACTCATGGTGATCGCCATCTTGGGATTGTTGGATGGTCCTGATCATGATACTGTTGGGTGCTGGCGGTGGTGGTGCTGTTTCTGTTTGTGTTGGTGTTGGTGTCGGTGGTGTTTGTGATGGTGGTGGTTGTGGTGGTGGTGGTGGTGGTGGTGGTGGTGGTGGTGGTGGTGGTGGTGGTGGTGGTGGTGGTGGTGGTGGTGGTGGTGGTGGTGGTGGTGGTGGCAGCGGTGGTGGTGGCGGTGGTGGCGGTGGCGGTGGTGGCGGCGGCGGTGGTGGCGTTGTTGGTGGTGGTTGGGAGGATGCATATCTTTGCGATGCTGGCGGTTTGAGAACGTTCATGATGACGACTACTTCGGACATGAACCGAATGCTAGTGACCACGGAAATTGAAGCAGCGGCAGTGCAGTCACGAAGTAGCCTCAGAATTCATTCCAGAAGGGGTGCTCCGACCGTCCTGCTTCGAGTTTTCAGGTTTGGCATATGGGATCTATGTGAGGTCTTTTGCAAGAGTTCTCGTTGAGTCATGAGGCGGGCCCAGGACATTTCCCACAGGATAGCTTTTTAAACCACATCTTAGCAGATCATAGGCACCGAAATGGCACTGCAATCCTTGCCTTGCATAACTTGCATAACCCCATGTCGCACCTCTGCTTGAAGCTAGTGTTACCGGTAAGTTTGATATTGTTATTATTACGATTATTGACATAATTATTATGTTATTCATCACTATTGTGGCTATTATTAGCTTTATGATGTCACTTCGTCTCTAGACTGTGTGCAGACTGCAATCCGGGTCAACAGTCAGAGTTGGGATATATGGGAAGTTTCCAAAAATTACGAGTACCTTCTTTGGGGGTCCTTATAATGAGGATCCTACTATTTAGGGTACGATTATTTGGGTCCCGTAATGACTGTTCCCAACACATTCTGCGCGTGTTCAGCGTACTCGGGCTTCAATAACTTCCCTACAGCTCCATGCAAAACTTCGTTTTGGTTTGATGATACAAATCCTGCTTCACATTAATGTCCTTAAAGTATGGGACGTATGGTAGATTCCTTACTATGGATAAGGCAAGATTTGTATCATCAACCGTACCAACATCTAACGACATCTCTCAAAACCTTGTGCACTCAACCTTGGAGCCGGATCTGCCTGACTTGCAATGCTTGGACCTCATTCTTGGCTGACTGACCACATGCAAAGGACCTGTACAAAAAGAAACTTCTCTCGGTACATGGGACCCCTTCTAAAGCGTGCAAACCTTCCTCGAACAGAGACGAAACATCCTCGTTGGAAGAGTCTCATTCGCACCACAGTCCTGTGCATCATCGTCAGAGAGTCCGAAAAGTTCGTCCGGCGGGGATAAGTCCTCCTCCACGCCTTTCAGGGTATGATGCTGAGCATTTCCTTTTGTCGCGTAGGGCCGTGCATGTAGGCTCAGTTTCGCAAGTTCGAGCCTAGGATCCTAGAATTGTTTAGACGATTATCAGTAGGTAGGTTCACATGTAGGTTCACGGGCATAAACTCGCAGGAGCCAGGCATATCGGTGTCCACCTTTCAGTACCGCACAAAGACAGAGTCACAAGGCAAGCTCAAGCACGTGACACTTGTAAAACTGTAGCTTATAAGCGAAGCGAAACAGCAGACAGGTGCAGAAAGAAGCCGCAGTTGAATAGGGCATGTACGCAAGAATACAGCCAGAAACCAATCTACGGTGGGTCTAGAGCAAGCTAGACGCGAGATCGTGCGGCCGTCGAGAGCCCATGCGTCAAGAGAAGAGATAAACCACGATAGTTACTCATGTGTCAAAAACTTTTGCCATGGGTTGAGTATCTTCCTTGCATATTGAAGGGGCAGCTTGCCTATCAGCCCTATAGTTCAGCAAGTCGGAAGCAGAGAGCCGTACAACAACACACGAGCATGCACAAGCCAGCATGCAACAGTTCCAAGTCGAGGAGCGATAATGCTGCATGTACGAATAGGACCGGAACCTATGCATGTCAATCACATACCTCGTCCGTTCCTAGCTATGAACCAACATGTTCACTGCTTGGTATAGCAATAGATCGTGATACCATTGGGGCGCATGGGTGTGTCTACTTCGTTCACAAGCTTGCCTGGACCAGGATGTATACTGACACCAACGCCTAGATCTAAGCCTGTAGTTCTGACGCAGATTGCGATGAACTGCACTTTCTGCCAGCCTTTCTTGTCAGTACTGGATCTTGGCTCGAGCAGGTTCTGAGAACCGTAACTCCAGCGATGATCATGCTGATGGTGATGATCGCCGTTGACATCATTTTCTGCTAACCAGACATGACCACGCGTCGATCACGATCATCGTGACCATCGGCGGTCATCACAAAGCATGTCATCTTCATCGCGACCAGTCTCATCATCACCACCATCACCACACCTGAATCACCACCGATGTAACCTTGGCGATGCTTCTTGCACATGCCAATGCTTCCTACAGATACGCAACAACCACGTGTTCCTTTGATTGCTACAACACCGACACACCGAGCCTTCCAGGGGTGTTCCGGGAGTTCGCCGTCTCCTTCGTCGCCTCTTGGGCCCTCGAAAATCTGCCATGTGCAAGAAGAGATACACGGGCTCCTCAAGCGCAACGGAATCAGGGCTGCGGAATTTGCTCCCTGAGCGGGCTTCAACCTTACTTACAGCCTGTACTGACGCACTAACAACAAACATGGGATCAAGAGTCAAGACGCCAAACCGTCCAGACCCACGGGACAACGTCTGACACTTGTAACCAGATGCCCGGAAACCGCGCCTTCCCCTTAGACAAGGAACCAAAACACATGCAAATATCGATATCCAAGCTCATGACAGCAAGGCGGCAACAGGCGAAACTGATTGAACATGCTCAACTTTGCTGGAGCATAACGCCGACATCCGAAAACTCAGATCCCCAGCTGCTCCTCCAGCGACTTGCGTGGAAATGGCGAACTTATCGTCACAACCCGTGCCATGAGATGCTTCCTCGGAGAGGGCGAAGCCCCAATTTACCTACTTATCCTGTACAGGGAACTCCAGAAAGTTGGAATATGGCTTCATGGTAG